GTTTTGGGGCCGGAACGTCCAAACCAGGGCCGGAACGTCTTTTTTTTACCAGGGCCGCAACAAACCAGGGCCGGATCGTCTAGAAATCGTTTAGACATGTGTCACAAATGTCATTTCATGGTGACTAGACACAATACCGGCAGGGTATTTTGATACATCACCACTGTGGCCGTTTTGTAATATGTTAAATAACAAGCAAACTTACCTCCTTCCCCGTGAGTGTCTGTCATTGTCGAACAATGAGGGGTTCATTGATTGAGTGGTGGACATTTATTTCCAATCAGGCGACATCGAAAGCAATTTTGAGAAATAAAGAAAAGACGAAAATTGTATAACTTTTGAGTATTTCGCTAAACAACACACCACAAGTGGTAAAATTTACAATGAGTTAATTAACGATCGACATAGACTGTGAAAAATAGAACGAAATTGCGTTTACCTTAACTTTGATCAGCATTGTGACGATATTGCGGGTTCTTCGAGTGTTCTTTCTCTCTTGGTGAGGTCTTTCTGAATTCAGTTTATGAAAGGAGCTGTGTGATTGGTTGGATCACAGTCCCTCTATCATAGATAGAGGGACTGTGGTTGGATTTATATTCGCGTATGACTAAATAATGATTAGTTTTATAGCTTTATACCTGTTATTTTTAATATTTATCAGAATGAATAATCGCATGATATGGATATATAATTATTTAACTGTTATATGATAATTTATTGAAAACTAAAATACGACAGTTGAGTAGCTAATATGGACCAATGAAAGAGCTTGTTGTGGAACATCATAGGTCATCATTAGAAAGAACCCGGTATTTGAACTCTGGGTAGGTCAAAGGTTTCATATCCGCTCACGCATGTTTTGGCGGGGTTGAATGTGTCTAAGGTTGTAAAACAGCATAAAGTAACGTGTACATTGCCTGGATAACCATTTCGCAATTCCAGTATGCCGAGAATCGACAACGACCTGAAGCTAGACTTCAAAGATGTGTTATTTCGTCCCAAACGAAGCACACTGAAGAGTAGATCTGAGGTATGTAGTCGAAATGCCGCAACACTGAGTCGAAATGCGGTCGGTTATGTTTTATACAATGTTAAAAATAATTTCTTATAAATACCACCCACGAATTCAGCTGTAATCTCCTAATACTTGTACTTGGTTGATTCCTCTAAATTAGTGTCAATATTATTCAATCTAAAGGAATGTTGACCGTGGCTGATTAGAAAATTAAAGGTCGGTAATCGTCACGTCGCGCATGTGCGACATTTGTGTGGATAAACATTCTAATGGAAATCACAAGTGTGAGTTTTGACTTGGGCTTGACTTGCACTAATTTTTGCCGGTGACTCTTTTGATACCTTCCAATCACCTCAAAATATACCTAAATAAAGCTTGGTAACGTCTCGTTGATCTGCAAAACAATCAAAGTCCCCATCTTTGTTTATATAAGACCCATATCACATGCACATGCGTGCCACGACCATCACCGCCCTTTAATTCTCAAAAGAAAAGTAAACAGAACAAAATATTTGACTGGAATAATTGACAGAAAAAACTACTTCTTCTAAAAATGTCAAAATAAATTATGTGTAATTTTTAACTACTTTTAATACAATAATTTAACCACTTATACCATGGCTTTGTGGAGCATTCACTCATTTTATGTTCTCCCCCTCAGATTGGTGGATCTGTACAAAAATATTGTGTAAACATTTATTGATTCTTGAATTCTTATTTTAAAAATGTGCGAGTATACTTCAAGCATAAATCTGTATTATTCTTGTAAAACCTCAATGATTTTTGCCGAAAATGTGACACTATTTGCAAATTTCATGACACAGTATAAATATAAATATTCCAAGTTTGAGAATATTTACACAGATCAACCCATAGTGGAGTTGAGGTATGTCAAAAATCCAAAATTGTCAACAAGGATAAGCTGTCTATCAATTATTTTCCTCTGACTGTTATTGTTAACAAAGCATTTCCAGTGCCAAATTGTAATTGTGATAGCGATAACAGACTGGCCGGGCCCCTATTCCAGCACCACAGGAAACATAGGCCGAAATACAATTGTGCTTAAATAAATCTCTCAAGACTAAAAGTTGTAAAACTGATCGATATTCATAGTAAAATATCTAAATTGACTTTTGTTTAAGTCATCTGTCTTCTGAAAACGTGTTTTCCGCTTCAAAAAGTGGTAAATTGTCGCCCACCTAGTCAATATTTCAGCGACTGTTACGCCATCTTGGAGATTCTCGAGCTACACGCGACCTCTTCACATGCGTGATCGAGCACCGGATATGACATCATTTTCGTACAGCACAAGTCTTCGCTATATGTGAAAGGTGAGTGCCGACGTTTATTACGTTTATCTTTTTAATTTTCTTGAAAAATATGTAATTTTTGGAAACCATTCATTGTGAGAGTTATTACTAGCTATTGCAGAGCCTGCCGCTTATATCCACTTGATAGGAGCAAGATAGACTGTCTTTTAAAATGAATTCTTGCGTTCGATTTATGTATGTTATCAGCGCAATTGAGCGCAACACAGTTTTCTAAAGCCGGAAGTACTGACCCCTTCACAAGGAAAACACGTGCGACAATGTTTTCGTAGAACGGCGTCTCGCTATTCATTTGAAACAATGGGATGAATAGAGTAGTATCTTAGTAACAAAGACAATGGCATTGCTCACTACTGGAACCAATTTCTAAATCTTAAGTTTAATTAATTTCAATGGTTTAAGTAAATTACAGCTAGATTGGGCTTAACTTGAGGTGGCTCTTTAATGTTGTACACATTGTAGTTAGCACTAAACATGGAATATCATGAGTTCATAAATGCAATAAATATGCTAACAATTTTAGATTAGCACTTCATTATTAAAAAAATCACATACATATGATAGCCGTTATTTGTTGCCATCAATGAGTATACATGTAGTTATTAATCTTGTTTCAGTGCTAATCATGAACAATATTATTACCCACTTGTTCCAACGCATGGTCAGTGGACCAAATGCTAATCTGCGTGTTGTGCTACTGCGAGCTAAACTACATGATCCAACAGTTGTCTGCAGTCCACATTTCAAAGTTACCCATACTATATTTCACTATCTTGATATTTTGCTGAATAGTAGCATGTGTGAAATAGTTCTTGTGGTTATTGAAAATATTTTTGCCAGTACTAAGGAAAACTGCTATGTTAGCATTCATGACATTGGTGCTAATTTAGTTATTTATGTTCATGATAATTTAAGTACATGTCAACCACTGTTACCAGAAGTATATTGGGAACTTGACAGTTTATTTTATTTTACCAGTACTGGACAGCTTTTTTTAGCTACATCGAGTGAGTCAGAGTCTGAGTTATGAACGGACATTGTTGTGAATTATTTTGAGTTTATTTATTGTGGCTAAATTAACATCCTCGCATTGTAAATGCGTGTCTGTGTATATTACTTTCATGGTATACTTGATGTGAGGAACAATTCCTAATCATGTAGAGCACAGTAAGTCCGATATTGCTAAAAAAATAACTGAGACACTCTAACATGTAGCAGTGGCTTTATTCTTATTAATATTTTACCTGAATTGTTGTATAAACAATTTTTTGCATGATCAATTGTGCTCTACATCATTGGTATTGTATTTGTAATAAAATTTGCATAATATAACTCCACATGGATTTGTGTTTATATCAGTTAATAGTTGAAAGGGTTAATAAATTATGTTTGATAATAAACTATAGGAATTGCACTTCTAATGATGAACCAAGATTTGTTTGAGACGGTCAGTATGGAGGATACGCTAACCAATGGTAAAGTGGTTGATTACTTTAAGGAGTATGGGCGAATGGAAACTGCGAAATGGTTGCAGAGTTGCCATAACGTATCTGAAATACCGTTTGCAACATATCAGAAGTATGTGACACGTGTCATTACTACATATAGAAAGTTCAATAAAAATCGAAGCAGAGTTTCTGGGCTGAAAGATTTGAACCATTTTCGGCAAAGTACATTAAAATTGCCTGATATGCCAGTGAAGAGAAAGTCGTGCTCTCTGAAAGCTGCAGACACAACTCAGCCAGCTGAAGTGTATGACAGTGTTGCACTCTTTTTAGCACAAGAAGTGTTTACTTTAACTGAAGAGCGACAACAAGATCTAAAGAAACTGAAAGTGGTGAAAGAACAGCTCTCAGAAAAAGATGAGAAGACAGAGGGTTTGAAAAAAGAACGAATTAAACAGATACCAAACAAGCCAAATCGAACACTGGATAGAGAAGACAACTGGCGGAAAAAGTATTCTAAAAGTGCTGCAGCCAGACAACCAGGCAAAAATGAATTACAGTTACTGAAAGATAGAGTTACTACCCTGGTGACGAAAACAAACACCTCCAGGAGGAGTTAAATTTATTTAGATGCCAAGAAACAAATGTAGACCTTTACAACACTTCCTCTCGTTGCTACACTGCAGACCTTCAGAGATGTGTCTACACTTTGTTGGAACATCAAGTGGGAAGTCAACATGTTGGTCCTGTGATTCAAGCCTGTTTGAAGTTGGTAGGTAAAACTGCCAATCGTCTTCCGTCAACTTCAACAGTGAATGAAATGAATGTACAGCGGCTGTGGTTGTCCCAGAAGCAAATCTCTGAAGAATGTCTATCTCAAAAGGAAACAACACTGCATTCTGATGAGGCATCAAAATATGGAGATAAATTTGGAGCATTTGCCCTTCGCAATAAGGAGGGAGGTTATCTTTGTCTTGGTTTAAGGGAGATGCCCACAAAATCTGCACAGGATACCTTAGACACTTTCAAATCCATCTTGGATGATATTGATGAACGAAGTCAAGAGACAAGCAATGATGCTGGGAAAAGAATTCTGTGCCAGATTGCCAACACTATGAGTGATAGAGCAGCTACCGAGTGTAAATTTAATAAACTGCTAGAAATTTTCCGTCAAGAAATTCTTCCTGAAATTAAGGCAAATTATGCTGATCTGAATGATGAGGATGGCAAACCTGTGGATGCCATTATGAACTTTTTCTGTGGGCTACACAGTTTGGTTCATATGGCAGAGGCGTCAAAGACCGTGTTTTTGGAGGTGGAAAAGTCCTTTTTCGGTTCAGATTCTGTTAAAGCTGGTGGTGGTGAATCTTTCATGCCTAATGAACCAGGAACTCTCACTTTGGTCAGACTCTCCTGTAAAGCATTTGCTAGAGGAGCAGATGAAAAGTCGGGCTGTTTTCGCAGCTTTAAAACTTTTATTAGTGATTTCTTGAAAGAGAACAAATTTTTTTCTGTTCCCTTAGTTCCTTATCGTGGCAATAGGTTCAATATTTTATTTGCTAATGCTGGTCATGTTTATTTTCTCCATGCTAGGATGAAAAGTTTTCTTTCTATTCAGTCACGAAATCGACTAACAGAATGTGTATTTACTTTACTCAATGAAGATTTCTATGTTGCTGGTTGTAGAGCATTGGGTTTAATTTCTAAGTTTGTGTCTACTCCATTATGGAGATTGCTTGAGAGTAAAGAGGTTCATGTACTAGACATGAACTACTATTACCTACAATTAGTTTCTTTTCTTGAGGATGCTGCCTTGAATGTGGAGAACTTCATGTTGGGCCTTATGGTCCCATTTGAAAATATTGCTGTGAACAAGGATGCTGTCTTGGATGCCTTGGTCATGCACAGTCAAGAGTATGATGGTCACACTCGAATGATTCTGGGGTCCTTGTTACCAGCTCTTGCCAAGTTACTAAAGAAAGAGTTTAAAGATCAGCTTCCTGGTGGCCTTTATGAGGTAATAACACCTGAATTCCGTGAGCAGACGCTTAGTGTTGATAAGCACAATAAGTATGTGGAGCGTCTGTTTGGGTATCTCGATCAACTGATGCGTTTCAGGCCCAATATAACCGTATTAGCCTCAGAGGCCTCTACAATGTTTCTCATGAACAAGACTGATCAGTGGTTATCATCTCAGGATGATGAGACAAGTAAAAAATTGGTTGCTGCTGCCAGGAAGGGAGTGAAGTCTCTCAGAGTTGAATTTCAAAAGAGAAAAGAAGAAATTGAGAGAAGAAGAAGAGAAATTCTGGAAGAACAGAGGCTCAAAGAACAAAAAAAGCTGGAAAAACAGCTGGTCCAATTAGAACAAGACACCCATCAGATGCTTTTTTATGGTCTTTGGCAAACTATGGGTCAAGTTGACTCCATGTTAGAGTCAATGCAGTCAAATAAAGAGAAGGAACAAGCTCTGAAAGCCCAACTGCGTTTTCGAAAAAATGTATTAAAACAAGATGCAGGGGACAAATCTGTCTTCAGCTTTTCTCGTAAACAAGGCAGGAAGAGAGTAAACTTGTCCTGGAATGAATTAGCCAGTAATGTTAAAGTATTAGTCAATCATGCCTGTGATCTGTCGGATTCTCCAGACCCAGAAACCTCTTTCCTTGTCGGCAAAAAGGTGCGACATAGGTTTGAAGAAGGTGGGAAATTGGTAGATTACAGAGGCACAGTTCTTTCGCAGGTATGATCATAACAGACATGATCATTTACCCAGATAAACAAAATGAACATAAAAAATAAAAATAAACAAATGAAAAAATAAAAGTAATAATAATGTGTAAATGTAAGATATGTGTAAATTTTATATTTTTAAGTTAATAAGCACATTACCAGTATCTCACCAGTACATGTATCATGAATTTAAAGTATTTTCATTGGCATATATTGTACCACTCATTCCGCTCCATTCTAGGTAAAATTAAGTCATAAAATTAATTTTTTACTCATTAGTGATGCATTTACATTGTAGTCCATTGGTAATCTCATTGAATCATTATGTGGTAATATTTTACCCGTATGGCAGTTATCTTTGGCACCTCAATAATTATAATACTTTACTATATATTTCAGGTGCCTGGATTCCCGAAATGGTATAATATAGTTTATGAAGGTGACAAAGTGGAGGCAGTATACTCTTACACATTACAGGATGACATGAAAAATGGAGACCTGGAAATAATAGTTTGATTTAATTTTATTGTAAATAAAGGTCAGTTTTGACTCTTGTATGTGAGCTGATAAAGTTACTGTGTCTATCTGTAATTTATAAATGTATGCACATTTATTTTAAACATTGGAATTTGAAACATGTGGGTGAGCTAATCTGAGCACCCTATATTTTGTGTCATGTGTGTATAGAGTTATGTGCATAAACCGTCCATTTGGTATTTTACATACAATTGATATGACGGCATGTGACCCATATCGCATAATCTAGTACATTTAACTTTAAATTACAACTAAATCATTAGTCTGAATAAGACAAACACATAATAATCGTGTTGGAAATTTATTTCATAATAATCAAATGTCATATAACGGACTGTATTTTCTATATTATTGTGCACTTAAGAATTCAACAAGGGAGTTATTGCAGCCCAAATAATTAAATTGTTTGGAATGATTACACATATTTCAAGTATAAACAATGTTATTTGCATAATTTTGGCAGATAAGCTGTTCAGGAAAAAAGTTCTGTAGTTTTACTATAAATAAAGCTCAGTGACACAAAAACGGACGGACAACGGACAGACAACGGACAGTTGCCCAAATGCCATCAACCCACCATGTTGCCGTACTACCTCTTAAAGCCTCCACTATGTTATGGTTAAAAACAAAGAATTACAAAATAGGTGGTTTAGTAGTTGCAGTTCGCGAAGTGGTCCCAGCCGAAACTGCCAACCTGCAACTGGGTACTTTTGGACTGATATTACACCCTATGCATGTGATCAAGATGGAATTCTGGATAATACTGAAATCTTCTTAACAGGTCTAACATATGGCTACATTTTTTCGTTAATTTAATATGTAATTGTGCTCTAGTTGATGATTGTTTGCCTAAAATGGAAAAAATATCCAAAATTGGAGATTTGAGAGGCAGCCATATTGACTAATTAGCATATTTTGATTTCTTTTGTGTTGATTAGTGGTCAGACATACCACCTCCTTCAGATGCCATGAACTGTTTTGAAGAAATTAACATAACAATAAAAGTGTCTGTTATACCTAATTGTGATATGGACACTGAAATCACAGCGAATATGCTACATGTATATATCAACGTTGTACATTAAATCACTTGCAAGTGTTGTCAACTTACTGGGAATCCTGGGTGAAATGTCGGCGTCTCACTCGCGATTTTATGTGCCAATTCTTATACCGGTAACAGTGTGTGTTGTGCATCATACATGTAATACATACATACTAGTACATACATCATACATACATTGTCTATTGGTGTGTCTGGTGACCGTTCTTAGCAAAAATGATAAATATTCAACCTTCAGTTTCACATCACATTTAATGTGATAAGGCTATTGTGTATGGTGACTTTGACATTCTAGAACAGTATTTTGACCAGATTTGGTGATCTTTAAAAGTAGTTTTGCTCAGTATTATAGTTCAGAGGTTTATAGTGTGTTGTACAGGTATGTAGTATACCATAGTTTTTAGCATTACCCGGTAGTTAAAAAATTACAATAATATTTTGGTTTGTTCTAAGTATGCCAGATGGGTGTTTCAAATCCCTAACCCTAACCCTACAATCGAGAGCTACTGTGTGTTCTTGGCTTTCCTTTCGTAACATTACGATTCATTGTATTTATGTTTGCCATTCTATTTTTAGGTTGATTTAACAAGAGAATTTATATTTAGAAACTCCAAAAAAGTGTACAATGGTATCCCGATTATTGCTGCTAATATGGATTCAGTAGGAACATTTGAAATGGCAAAAACCTTTGCATCTGTAAGTTTTTTTTTACTTGTTTTTTTTTCAGTCACTATCATGACATTTTAAAAATTTTGTTTTGTTATTTATTTCTGTTGAAACTCAAACTTTTATTTTGTGCCAATTACTGTAGAATACTTTATTTTCGCTATTTTCGCTGAAGGGCTGCTTCAGTGAAAATAAATTCCAGCGAATATACATTTATTCATGTCTCACATTCAACTGATCAAAAATCAGTGAAAATAAATTCCATACAAAACACCCAAAAAGCTTTTTCAGCGAAAATTAATTCTAGTTAAAATAAAGTATTTCACAGTAGTTGATTTTTATCTTATTTTTTATGCAAATTAGCCATGTTTTGCTCACAAAAAATGCCTTTCTTATTTTACTTTTGATGTCATACGTAGCTGCCAGAAAATCCAATATAATGACAAACTTACAATTCATACTCATTATTTCACCATCTTCCTCGGATACTGTAAAAACATTTATTTTCACTATTTTGATGTTTTTAGCATATTCACTGTGTTTTAATTTCATGAATTTGTCAAGGATACAATGAGTTTTGTTATTTTTTTACATGTTCCTGTAGATTTGATTTAGAGGATTTTACTTACATGTATCAGTGAAAATAGTGAAATTAAAACCAAGTGAATAATTGATGCATTTACAGTAGCAGAGATAACTGGTATATAGCCAAGTCAACAGGCGATTTGATAAGTCTGTATTATAAATCCATGATTGTGATAAAAATAACTCTTCTTAACTGTTAAAAAAAATAAACTAAAGTAAAAATCCCAACAGTAACCTACCTACACAATATTCTTAACTGTTATTGAATTTAATTTTTTGTAATTTTAGTTTAAGCTAATCCAGTTGTAATTTTAGTTTAAGCTAATCCAGTTGTAATTTTTGTTTAAGCTAATCCAGTTGTAATTTTAGTTTAAGCTAATCCAGTTGTAATTTTAGTTTAAGCTAATCCAGTTGTAATTTTAGTTTAAGCTAATCCAGTTGTAATTTTTGTTTAAGCTAATCCAGTTGTAATTTTTGTTTAAGCTAATCCAGTTGTAATTTTAGTTAGCTAATCCAGTTGTAATTTTTGTTTAAGCTAATCCAGTTGTAATTTTAGTTTAAGCTAATCCAGTTGTAATTTTTGTTTAAGCTAATCCAGTTGTAATTTTAGTTTAAGCTAATCCAGTTGTAATTTTAGTTTAAGCTAATCCAGTTGTAATTTTAGTTTAAGCTAATCCAGTTGTAATTTTTGTTTAAGCTAATCCAGTTGTAATTTTTGTTTAAGCTAATCCAGTTGTAATTTTAGTTAGCTAATCCAGTTGTAATTTTTGTTTAAGCTAATCCACTTGTAATTTTAGTTTAAGCTAATCCAGTTGTAATTTTAGTTTAAGCTAATCCAGTTGTAATTTTTGTCATTCCACAGCATTGTTTATTTACCACTATCCATAAACACTATTCCATTGACGAATGGAAGGAATTTGCAGACAATAATCCCAGTATTATAGAGGTAGGTTGGATTTTATAATCATTGTATCATGTAATTCCTGACTTCTGAGCTGCTAATAGCTACTCATTTGCATAACCATTCCGAGGTTTAAAAGCGTGGGGGCGCACTGCGAGTGAGGTTGTTTTTACGAAAGTTCCAGAAATTCTAAAATTTACCAAAATCGTGTATAACTTGCAGTAATAGACGAAAGGCGAAGCTTATTGAAATATCACTCCATTGAAGCCTGACTATCATGAAATATCGAGTAAGCCCCATCGTATTTTGCAAAACCGTTGTATGTAAAGTTGAAATTTACTTTTTCATTTTTTAACAAGGTGCCAGGAATTGAAAAAAAAACGCCACCAATAATAATTATGTGTACATATCATATACTTATTTGTTACGAACTATACCGGTATGTAAATACATACTATAATCTGTGTTTTTTCATTATGTTACCATCATAATTTCATTTCAGAACAGGTGCCTAAAAATTGGTGGCTGATTTCATGGGCAAGGGTAGAATGTGGTGCAACATCTGAACATTTGTTATCCACTCCCTCAACATAAATTCTGTGTCCTTCTAGCCTCCAGTATTTCATATTTAATGAAGTTGCTTACGCTTTTTGGTCGCTGCGCCACACTAAATCCTCATCTTTGTTTTGGGGGTTCATAGTTATTAAGTATCGCACAGTTTCCTGCAAGTTCTTGATTTTCTCTACTCTCAGTTCTGTCTGCGTGTTGCAATTGCTTGAGTAACTTTTGAAAATGTCAGGTCGGGGGTGAACTGACATTTTCGAATTTCATTTTTCTTCCATTCACTAATTTTGATAATTCTATGTTGAACATGCATATATAAACATGGCCATTCATAGGTTTAGTTATCATTATCATTATCGATTGTATGTCTCTTGAAAATAAGTGTGGCAGCTGACATTCCTTTATTTGGCCATCATCTCATGTTCTCAGTATGGATTTAAAGTAATGTTAAATTCAAATCAATATTTAAAATCTTCTCTCTTTTTATTTCAACAGAATATAGCCTGTAGTGCGGGTACAGGTGAATCTGATAGGGACAAAATACGTAAGATCATAGAGGCTGTGCCCAAGATCAATTACATATGCCTGGATGTTGCTAACGGTTACTCAGAGTACTTTGTTGAGTGTGTGAAACAAGTCAGAGCGGAATTTCCAAAACATACTATAATGGTATGTACTCAACAAATTTATTCATATCTGTAGATGAGTAAGCACAGGTTAAGTCTGTCAGAAAATAAGTATGCAACTTAGAAAATGCTTGATGTTAAAATTAAAACCCCAGCAAGTCAAATCGTGTCCCCCTAAGTTGCAGTATACAGTATGGTCAACTTGTTGACCCCCTAAGTATCCCCAAAGTAATAAATTTCAATGACACTAATTTAATAATACATATTTGTTAAAGTTTCTAATGTGGTGTGTAGACACAATTCATAAAATAATACAGCAGCCCAGATGACATATCATGACTGATTTTTGAAATCTTGGTTCTAATCAATTTTAATTTTTTAAACCATGAAAAACTCACAAACTTACAGAGGTGTCTAATATCGATACTACTGTGGAATACTTTAGTTTCGCTGGAATTAATTTTCGCTGAAAAGGATTTGTGGGCGTTTTGCTTGGAATTTATTTTCACTGATTTTTGATGAGTTCAATGTGAAATATAGGAAAAAAAGTATATTCGCTGGATTTTATTTTCACGGAATCATCCCTTCAGCGAAAATAGCGAAAATAAATTCCAAGCGAAAATAAAGTAATCTACAGTATTCCCCTACTTTCGACCTCACCAATGAATTATGATAATAATAACTTTTTATTTAATCACCATGTTTTTATCAATTGTTAGCAATGGATGAAATGATTGGTTTGATCAGAATTACAGCTGAGTACTCAGTGGAGTTTAATTTTATACTTTTCTTTCAATTTGTGTACATATTGGTTCAACAACAAAGAACATTAATCTAGCCCAAAGCTGTTTTCCTGGTATATTCACAGTTGCATACCAGCTATTTTCTACATCCCTGTACATGAACATTTCACCCCATGTGTATTCACTTAGTATCACAAAGGTTGTTTTGGCACAGTATCACATGGATTAAAGAAAAGCGTCCCATGACCTTTAAATTTAAAAATGCATTTTTACATTACTTTTTACCATTTTGTTCCATGGAAACCTTGCATGCACAACAATTTTATTCATAGTTGGTCACATGACATCAATGAAATTGTCATGCCAGTTTTGTAGCACTTATCTAAAAACAATAATGTGTTTAGTAGGTTTTTACAAAGAATTGTGTTAAGGTAGAAGCCTAGTCATAATTTTTGACAAAATTGGTCATAAATCGCATGTCAATGTTCATTAGTTTATTATGTACAATCATGAAGCTAATGTCCCATGGTATAATGAAATAGCATTATTTTGTGTGTTACAGTAATGCTTTTTGAGAAACGTGTCCTAATATTTCTTGAAAATTACATTTTCTGACACTTTATAAAACCCAGATTTTTTAAATAATTCAGAACAACAAAAAGTACTCCATCATTAACAATATATGATTTTTTCAGCCTATGTCACCAGGTTAGATTTTGAGATATTGCATAATATCTCTGCCATAGGAACATGTGGTAAAAGTGTTATAATAGTGTCAAAATAGTGACTTTCCACTAAAATACAACCATCATTTTCTCAACAACAAAAAAAGGCTGTTGACCCCAAAGTTTTTTTTAAGTCAATATCCTTGTATTGTGTTGGAGTACAATTTATTGCAAAATGAATATATTCTGGGTTTAGAGTAGGCTTCTACCTTAACCCCCATATTCTGAACCAACCCCCCCCCCCCCTTCCGAAATAGAACATGTAATATATTGCAAGTTCCAGTTCATTTTCTTAACAGGACTTGCTACACAAAATGCTAACATAATCCCTTGTTTCTACCCTAATATGTGTAGGAAGTCAGAAGGGGAGAAAATTTACATGGCTCATCCCCATTATTATATCTTTTATTTCAGGCTGGCAATGTTGTTACTGGTGAGATGGTTGAAGAGTTGATTTTAGCCGGTGCTGATATTATTAAAGTTGGTATAGGACCAGGTTCTGTGTGCACCACACGTAAAAAGACTGGCGTTGGATATCCACAGTTAAGTGCTGTGATCGAATGTGCCGATGCTGCTCATGGTCTGGGTGGTCATATTATTTCTGTGAGTATGAACATGTCACGCTTTAGTACTGTAATAACTGATCTCTGGGTTTCAGTACCGTTAAAATCCTATTGTAAACCGCGGTTTATACATGTATTACAATGTATGAAATAAAAAATTGGGATCAACAGCTCAAGTTCGGGGTGCGGTTTCTATTACGTACATATTGCAATCACTAAATGGGCGTGGTCATTTTTTCCCCACATCACTTGCACAAAACAAACAATACACCGTACATCTTTTGAATATAAGGGTAACTCCAATTTAGATGTCAGGGAAGAGTGATAAGCGTCACGTCACAAAGAAACTGTTCACATGAAAAAAAAATACTATATTAGTATATTTAATGTAATATGCATTTATTTTTTTTATTTTCTTCGTAACGGAAAGTATATTCTGACACGAGTTTCAAATAAAAACAAACATTAATGCATTGCTTAGTAGAAAATGATCATGGTACAACACTAAACAAGTACGGTACCGTTGTACGGTAACGCAATCCGGCCATTCTTCGGCTCACAAGTGATAGACTTACTTGTTTTCGAAGTGTTGAAATTGTTGATTATTACTCAGTAGTGATTATAATAACGCACGAAAAATAAATTTGTTTGATTGTAATCAAATGCAAGTAAAATTCAACTTAGTTTCATCGTAAGCGAATTATTTCGATCACATGTAAACGACCGATGCGATACGACATCTGCCATGTAGTTTGAATGCACACGAGACGTTACTTGACCAGATAGATCAAGTCGCTAATTAACCAATCAAAATGCTGGATGGTGCCCACATGTTCAAATTACCTTAGTTCATTTAAATATGTTAATGACAGGTCACCGACTTCAAGTGAAAAGAAACGCGGAAGCTATTTACCGATAATGTAGTGCGATCTTTTGCCTTTGGGAAAACGACATGACTTTTTTTTTAAATCAAGAAATTAGTTGTTTTCGAAAGATAAACTGAGCATTGAAAAAGAATTTAACAGTTTCTCGGTGATAACTGCTCATTGTCGAAAATTTGCGACACACTGACGTATTCATAAGGAGTATATTGACAAAAGTTGTCGCAAGAACAAAAGCGTGTTTGACATCCTAACACTACTGAACAATAAAAAGGTGTGAATATTTTAGGCACGTTGCCGAAACAAATGAATAGGATTATGAACAATGTACCAGCTGGTTGAAACAAAGTCAATCACGGTCTTGTTGAATTGGGGGTGCGGTTAGTAATGGGTACTTTTCATGTTTTCAATTTTTGTTGAGAACTCTTTAACACTGAAGCCAAAATCAGGGGTGCGGTTACTATTCGGAATGCGGTTTATAATAGGATTTTAACGGTAGGACTTGAATGTCGCTTGGCTTCTATGAGTTTATTCTAAACATCATTAAATGATCTGATTCAAACTCGCACAAAAATAGGGCTCCCAATGTATTTTAATTGTCTTAATTATCAGTGCATTTAATTTGACCATAGCGTTATTTGCTGTATAAGACTATTCTGGATTGCATACTACGTCATATCTCTCTCCCTCACCCAAAATTGACTAAATAGACTCAATGAGGCCAAAGGCTTAAACAGTACTCATTTTGCTCAACCTCACGCCTGCTTCCGCTTTTCAATCGCTTTTTTTTACTCGCTTTTGCGACAACTTGTTTAATTCGACAAAACTGAAAATGGGCAATAGCGTTAATTACAGATCATTTTAAAAGTGTGAAACTTTTAGAAGGCATTGTGGAAAAACTATTCAATGGAAATACTACAAACTTTTGTTCTATAATCATAGTGAATATATGTTTTAAACAAGTCAAACGTTCAGAAGTTAACCAAAAACGTTGTTGTACGATCTTTTTGCTTTGAATTTTATGGGAAAACAGCATGATATTTTTTAAATGAAAAAATTAGTTGTTTTCAAAAGATAAACTGAGCTTTTGTCAAATAATTTAAGATTGTTTAGTAATAACAGCTCATTGTCTAAACGAAGCTTACCCATTTACACTAGTCACAATAAACATCATATTCTTGAATAGGTAAAACGGTAAAACTTAAATTAGACTATTTTAGACGTCAGGAATGATTGAATGTCTGAAAAATGACACCAAAATATTAAAAAAAAAAAACCTTAAACAAATACCGAAAAAGAGCCCTGGGCGATTTCTTGGTCCCATTTTTTTTTTTTTTTAAACCCAAACCACCGTTTAATGGCCCAGGTTGAATTTACGGCAGGATCGGTACTTCAGAATTCTGTATACAGAATCACCAATAGTTTGAACTTAGTGTGAAATAAAAAGCCTTGAATGTTTTTCTGATACTTCTGTTTAATGCTGCGAATATATATACCAAGGGTGATATAAATGGTGTATATTTTGTCTCTTTCCCTAGGATGGTGGCTGCACATGTCCAGGAGATGTATCCAAAGCATTCGGTATGTACACAATATCAGGTGCTTCACCTCCCTGAATTAGCATTGATAGTATTATTAGTCCCTGTTCCGATGAAGTCCGAAAACGGGGACTATTAATTTGGGTTCGTTCCATCTGTCTGTACGTCTGTACTATATCTCAGACACCCATTGACAGATTTCATTCAAACTTTACATGAAGACAATACATAATGTCTTACATATGCGCGTCAAGTTACTTTATGATCGGAGCAAAAACGGCCGACTGGCGGCCATTTTGGATGTAAAATTTGCTATTTCTGATACCTAAACGTGTCCGCAGAAGTTTCTCGGAGATGACTGGGCCGATTTGGATCAAAGTTAGTATGATGATCATACATATTGGGTTGTAGGTGCACGTCATTTTTTGTGTGTGATTCGAACAAATATGGCCAACTGGCGGCCATCTTGTTTTTCATTGTACCCATGCTACATTATCTTGAATGCAATGAACATTTCTGTTTAAATTTTGTACAAAGATAGTATACCAAGAGATACATCTGCGCCAACATGATTTTTGTGATTTGATTCAATATCAAATTGACTGATGCCCAAATTTCACATAAAAGTGCTAAATCGTCATTTTTACATGTCTGAGGCTGTTTCTCAGAGATGACTAGGCCTTTTTGGATCAAAGTTGGTATGGTGATCATACATATTGGGTTATAGGTGCACTTCATATTTTTTCTGTGATTCAAACTGGTGGCCATTTTGTTTTTCATGATACCCATGCCTACGGTACTTTCCCATGAATGCAATGAACATTCCTGTTTAAATTTTGTACAAAGACAGTATACCAATAGATACATCAACATGAACATTATTTTCGTAATTTGATTCAATAATTTGAATCATAATTTTTTTCAAATCCATCTCCTATGAATGGTTTCAATCTAATCTCAATGACTTCATCAACATCAAATTGATATGTCAGATCACAAAATTTTGGATGGGGACTGTTTTATTAACAATGACTTGTTATTACATGTCATGGACATACCTGAATCCATCACATCAAACTGTATACATATCAAGGATTTATAAATTGAGGATATGCAAATGATGTGCTATGTGATGATGTTCTCATGCAAATTAAAGGAGATGCATGAATTGCCAGATGATCACAAAAAAAACATACTTTTCATAAACATACTTTTCTAAAAATTCTGATGCAAATGATCAAATCTATGAATAAGCTCAGATTTTTATTTTGGACTGTGCTTATTCCCAAAGCGTATATTCTGTGTGTTTTGCATTGTTAAATATGCTGTTAAATCATACGTATTTCATTTAACGCATTAGAAACTTTTCATTGTCACTATTAGTAAGAAATAAAATAACTTCACATATACATGGATACTGTAAAATACTTTTTCGATTGGAATTAATTTTCGCTATTTTCACCGAAGGAATGACTCAGTGAAAATAAAATCAAGGGAATATTCTTTTTTCCCTATATTTCACATTTAACTGGTCAAAAATCAGTGAAAATAAAATCTATGTAAAACACCCAAAAAGTCTTTTCAGCAAAAATTAATTCCAGTTTAAATAAAGTATTTCACAGTATTCACATGCAAGTTTCATTTCCTTACAGATGTGTGATCATGTATACCAGTATAAGTTGTTCACTCATGTAACAATAGATGCTTGTTTTTTTTTATTTACACAGTTGACATACAAAAAATAAAACTCATATACATGTTGTGGTTCACAGGTGCCGGTGCTGACTTTGTTATGTTAGGTGGGATGTTGGCAGGACATGATCAGTCAGGTGGCGAGACTATAGAGAAAAATGGAAAGAGGGTCAAACTATTTTACGGCATGAGTTCAGCCACTGCAATGAAAAGACATACTGGAGGCGTGGCAGAGTACAGGTGAGCAGTTCAGTTATGCCTTGCAGATTTTGTTTAATATGAACGTGTGTGAGTTTCGTGCGAATCATATTGTTTTTATAAAACATGAATTCTCAAAATTTTGTAACTGAAGATGTTCTTCAAGATCACTATGATTTTCTCAATGAGTCATTTGCATATAATTAGACACATCAAATAACGGTATTGGCCAAGCAGCACCGCAGAATAATTAATTCATTTTCATAAAATAATAAAATTATTCCTACCTACCCTACTTTTGTTTTCAATATCACCAGAAACAAAGTATTAATTTTATGTGACCTAATCATATAAAACACCCACATTTTTTATATGTATCCATGGTGATAGTGCTTGGACATAAATGCTATTACTGATTATTCTGCAAAAGATGAATATTTACTCACCACCAGTTAATGTGAAATGCAGTGTGGATTGACAAAAATTAAATATCATGTTAGTCCTTTAAAAAAAAAAAGAAAAGATTTTGCGTCCCATCATCACGTGTCAGTCTGAAACTTTTTTTTTTGAAATTTTGTGTACCTGTAAAACATTATCATTACGGAAATGTTTGTTTCCTTTTCAAATCAATAAATTGTAAAAGTTGAAAATGTATCTTGCTGTTCTGGGATTGAATAATCTTAAATTACACCACATAATTTTTCAATTTGCTGTGGACAAGGGGAAAAATCTCTTTTGTTTGGCTATAGTGAATACCATGTATAACATGCCGATCACTGCAGTGTGGTGTAAAAAGTGAGCAGATCAAAAACCCCTATATCTTCAGTGTAATGTACCTCACTGCCAAACCTTTTTTATTGTACGTGCTGCCTGAAGGCGTGGCGGCAACAAAGTTACTATACAAGCGTGCGAAGGTATAATTGTACTCAGTGTTACTTCAGTAATAGTTACACTGTCAACACTTCCCCATCATTATGTCATACTGTGGAAATATGCATCTGGTAAATACAGACTCGCCAGAAAGTATTTACGCACCTGTCATTTGATCGTTTTCGTAACTAAA